ATAATCTATAGTACTAAAATTTGGGCAATATAACTCTCCATTTATCAGCACCTTAGAAAACCTCTTTATGTCTACCTCTTTGTTTTAAAAATATTTTTACTTAGTTGTAGTTAGATACAATACCTTTATTTTTATGTAGTGCTGAGGATTGAACCCCAACCTCACATGTGCTAGGCAGGCACTCTACCACTGAGCCATAACCCCAGCCCTCCACCTTTGCAATAATCATTTGGCTCATTACTCTTTGAGATGGGTCTATTATCTATTGGTATCCACTCCTCTCCCAGCCTATTTTCAAGGATATCCCGTGCAATGATAAAAGAATGGGCAAAGTTTACCCAGGGTAATATGGAAAGTAGACAAGAAAAAACAAAACTCACATCTCCCCACCAACACCTTGTGGCATCCCTCTACATACACAGATGAACTGTAGTTGTTTGAGAGTTTTTGTTTGTTTGTTTGTTTGTTTTTGTGGTGCTGAGATTTAAACTCAGAGCTTCAGATGTGAGACAAATACTCTACCACTAAGCCAATCCCCAGCCCTTCTACTGGGTTTCAAATCAACTTTTCAGTAGTTTTTCAATCCAATAACCTCTCCCTCACTTTGCAGGGTCTCAAAATTGGGTTTTGAGAAAAGAGATAACCACTTATTAAAATATTAATTATTTTTCACTGTAAAATAATATTTCTATGTACCTGATGGCTAAGAATAATACACATTTATTATCTCACAGCTCCTATAGGTGAGGGTCTGGGCATAGCTTATTTGGGTCCTCAGCAGCCAGCTATCAAGGTATCAGATAGGACCAGGTTCTCATGGGTAGACTATAGGGAAGGATCCCTTTTTAAGCACAAAGAGGATGTTGAAAGGTTCAGTTCCTTGCAGGCTGTGGGATCGAGGGTTTTAGATTCTTGCTGGTTGTTGGCTAGAGGCCATTCTCAGTTTCTTGTCATGTGGTCTCCCCAATATCACTAGTTTCTTCATCAAAGTCAGCAAGACGATTCTGCCACCAAGATAAGCATTAGATTCTAATGTTGCCTTTGTTGTATTTTATCAGTAAAAAGTGAGTCACAGTCCAATTTTGCTCAAAAGCAGGGGTTTGCGGGAATTGGAAATCATTTTGCCGCAAAGTTTCTGAAAGCCACTAAAGGGTTTTCAGCATTAAAGTAACATCATTTTCTTGCTGTAGAATGACCACTAGTCAGAAATTGTAGAGAACAGATTAGTGGGAGAGAAAATATGAGTTCTGGAACCCAGTCAGGAGACTGTGACTGTAATCCTGGTGAATACATGATAGTCAGAGCTAAAATAATGCTAGTGGGAATAGAGAAATGGAAAAATTGGAGAGGACTTGGTGACAACTAGACAGGGCAAAGGTTTGCTTCTGACTCATGCAAATGAGCGAATGGCAGTAACATTATTCACTGAGAAGCAGTGTAGACAAGATGAATTTGAGGTAATTTAGTCCCATAACAGAACTGGACTCAGTCACGTTCCCTTGATAATATAATTTTTTTTTAAATTTAGGCCATCTTTTTTATATGTATGTACTTTTGGGGCTTCAAAGAACCCATTGTTCAAATTTATTAAACCTGGTTCAATCTTTTCAATTCATCTCACATAATATAGGAATTTTTAGGAAAGCAAGATAGTCTACGTAAAAAAGAACATTGGCATTGATACTGCCGTTTATGGGTGACGAGTTCTGCTCCATCACATGTTGAAGTTTGAACATTAGAGAAGCATGCCAAGGAAAGCATATAAAGCAGGGTTTATTTTTTAAAAAGGGTAACATAAATTCCTCTGGGGAAGGATAAGGGGGCCATAGCTGGTATCCTAGCATCCCAAAGAAGCAAGGTGCTCTGCCCTTTTTATAAGTCCTAGGCTTCCTTTGTTCTTCTGCCCTCTTCCTCTTATCTTTCTCCTTCCTTTGTAGGTAACCAGGCATTTGGCTAGGCCTAGGAATGTTTGATGGATGGCCAAAAGGTGGGAAACAGGTGGATTGAAGGGGGAAGGGCAGGATAGAGCAGCCAAGGAAAAATTAATTAACAACCTTACAGTCAGGTTACCTCAGTAACAGGTTGGAGCAGAGGGAGATTCTTGATAAGAATGGAGAAAAGGCTCCTAAGTAATTAACATTTCAGTCCTTCAGAGGACAGTCTCTAACTTGCCGGACTCCCTCAAAATTGGCTCTTTGATCCAACATAACTCAATTTACCTATCTCTACTGACTGCCTCTCTAACCCTGGCTTCAGAATGAACGGGCAACCAAGAACCTACTGCTCCTAAAATCACACCTTTCATATGTTTAATGTAAAGGATGAGTTTGGGGAGGACAAAAACATGGATAAAATTCATCCACTCCAATATACTGTACAACAGAATAATTTTGCATTGAACTCTGCAATCCTAAGCATTGTGCACATGGGTAGACAAGGCGTGAAAAAGTCCAGCCATTCGGGTCAGCATTTCTGGAGCTGCCTCCCTCCCTCCCTCCCTTGGCGGGAGATCAGACACAGAAGACGCTGCCCTATATTCCAGCAACAGAGAAGAAACCAGTTGTGCTCCAGATTCTCCCAGCCCAGCCACGCATGCTCCCTCCCACCTGCAAAGCAACGGGTCTGACGGCGCGCAAGGGCTTCTGGGAATCGTAGTTCCTGGTGGGAGGGGCTGGTCGGCGTTGCCCCGGCTTCTTACGCATGCGCGACTCCGAGCTGGCCTGAGAAGTTCGTAGCCTTTGTCAGGCCCGGGATGGGAGGTGAGTTGGTTTTACCTCTACCCCCACTCCGCGTTTGGATTGGGCGGTGGCCCCAAGGGGTCGTTCTGTACCCAATCGGGACTGGAGTGCTCGTTTGCGAAAGGAGTCTGGAAGGCAGACCTTGAGCCCCATCCCCTCACGCTCTACCCTGAATCCTACCCCCCGGACCCGGGTGCTAGCGCGGTGCCCGTCGTGCGCGACCGGCGGGCAGCGCGGAGCTGAGCAGGACACGCGGGGCTGTCGTGGGTCCCGGGCGAGTGTCCTGAGCGCCACGGATTTGTCTATGCTGCTGTGCCTCGGCGGCAGCTCCAGCGCCATCTCTTCGGACGCTCTGTCCCCCCAGGGATCACTCCCAGCGCAGGGACAGGTATTTAAGGACCCACTCTCAGGGATGCTGTCCTCGGGTTTCCAGGCTCCCGCTCTGTAGGACCGAGGCAGGCTCCACCGTGAGAGAGAGAGAGAGAGAGAGAGAGAGAGCGAGCGCGACCTGATTCTGACTGAGACATTTCCGCAGAGCCCCCAGAGGAAAGACAGGAAGGAACACCCGAGGCTCCCGGGACTTCTGACTGCTCTGTCCACTGAGGTGTGCCTTGGGTGAAAAGCAGAAATCTTCAGGACATGGAGGAGGTGGTGATCATGGAGACAGATTTGGCCGAAATGCCTGAGAAAAAAGGTAGAATTGCTCAAGTGTTGCACTTCTGTGGTGGAAGGGTGGAGTCCTTCCTCCTGGAGGGAAAAGGGTTGTCTCGGAATAGGTGGCCATTGGCAGAGAGGACTGTCTGTCTCCATTGTCTTGGTGGATGAGTGGGCTATTTGAGTGTAGAGAGTTTGGTACAGGATCATCCCCTGTCCTTCCCATTGCAACCTGGTGCACAATGGACCCTTCCAAGCAGCCCCCAAAATAAGAGTGGAAATGTTAATCTGAGATGTGAGCACAGCTACAACCACTCCTCTCACTTGCTCTTCCTTTCAAATGATTATTCCATTCTAGTCCCCATCAGTGAATCTGAGAAATCAGCTTTGTGGTTGACAAAAATTTCTCCACACCCATTATTTCACTTTATTTATAGTCACCTATGATTTAAATTCAGTAAGGGTTTGATTTTTTTTGTTTGTTTTGGTGATGATGGTGTTTAACATGCAAATCAGACTAGAAGGCAAGGGTTGACTTTCAGTACTACTAGACCAGTGTTTCTTGAAGTTTGTTCTGTGACCTAGCATCAGAATTCCCCCTAAACTCCCTATCTGTGCTTCTTAGGTTTTTGGATTGCACTCCATATTCAATCAGTGACAGTTACTCTGAAGTGAAGTCAGCAATCTACATTTTAAATAAGCTTTTAGAGTAATTTTTGAGAACCATTGATATGATGGTTCTATGAACTATGATACTAATTTTGTGTAGATTGAACTGGGAAATTCACTGAATTTTTCTAATTTTTAGATCAGAGAGGACCACCTTCCAGAATGTGATATGATTATAGCAATGCATTTAAGTCTGGTATAGCAACATTCCTGAGCATTTTCCATAATTCTGGGAGGTAATATGTTGTTTGGGGGTGGGGGTCCTTTCAGTCTCAGTGTAAATAAGGGGCACATTTAGTGTGATGGAGGGATTTTTAGACTTGTAGTCTTATAAGTCTAAGTAGCATCTTGAGCCCCATCTTGACTGCTTTCTTGCCCTTAGCCATGTCTTCCCAGGATTCCCCCCTCTGCCAAGAGAAGAACACAGATGAGGAAGAAGTGGCAGCTATGTGCCTCACAGCCAGATCACAGGTGAGTGTGAGTCTACTGGTGATAGAAGTCCCACCTTATTTCTCAGAGTACAGGTGTGCTCCCTTCTTTTTGATAAAAGTTTCTTTTTTTTACTAGAGCCCATCTAGAGAGCTGAGTTCTAATTCTGAGAGATTAATGAATTTGGTAGGAAATACTTTCTACTTTTCCATAGTACCTCAATTCTCCACCTAGTTTTTATTGTCCCTCTACAGGCAGGTAAGCAACATTTCCCTTCTTTGGCCTACTTTGCTATTTCTGTGCTTGGTAATGTGGGAAACTATTTTAAACATAATGTCATGAATGAATGCATGTGATTTGATGAATGAATGGAGGAAAGAATGCATGTTACTATATGTAGGAGTTTAAGAAAACATCTTAAGTTATGAAGTGATTAGAAGGCAATTAATACTCAAATAGTTCAAATGAGTGCTATAAAAGGGAAGCTTAGGAAGGGATAAAATAACTGTTAGAATCCAGCCCAGCCCTCCAAAGGGGCGAATGCTGGAGTATTATTTCTGCAACTTACTCTTATATCATTGCTACCCCTTCCCTGTGCAAGAGCAGCTATGGCAAATGTTAGGAATTTTTGAATTCATGTAGTGGTTGTACAGTGGATAATTATTGTTTTTCTTTAAACTTTCATATGTTTTCAGCCCTTTTTATTTAGAGACAGGGTCTCACTAAGTTGCTCACGGCCTTGCTAAGTTGCTGAGGCTAGCTTTGAACTTGCAATCCTCATGCCTCAGCCTTCCAAGTTGCTGAGATTGTAGGCTTGCACCATAGCGCCTGGCTTTTATTTCTTAGATCTCATATTATTACCATTTTGTAAACTTTAAACTTTGGAAAAACTGTAAACATAAGAAATGTTGCAAAGAATACTAGATATCTTGTCCAGATTCTCTAGAAGTTAACATTTTTACTTTGCATTATTTCTTTTTTCTAGAATTAGGACATTAACAATAGTATAATACCATACCCTGCTGACCTTCAGATTTTCCATCTGTCTCATTTTTCTGTTCTCAAAATTTCTACTTTTATCCTGTAGTTCTTTTTCATGTTCCTTAATTTGTTATTATTAACTTGCTTTGTATGCTTCTTTCATTTAATTACATAATTTTTAAATGAAATAAAAGTGTTTTAAGCTGTGAAATTTCCTTTAAGTACAGTTTTAGCCATTTGGCATTGGGGTCTACATTATTTCATTATTATTTTTATATTCTGATGGTTTTTTATTATCATCTGTCATTTTTCTGTTCTGTTTGGGAATTTATTGCAATTAATTTTGTTAGTTTTTGCAAATGCTTCATGAATGTTTAAAAAGAAGGCATTTTCTGTACCATAACAGAAACTATAGAATATTATTTTCCAAGGCTTGTTTATATATGTTTATTCCTGTAGCATTAGACTGTTATTCCCATTCTCTATGACTTTTCTTAAAGGGCATGTTCAATACTGGTATATTTCCACCTTCTTATAATTTTGTATCTTTTTTCTTATAGAAACAAAATATGAATGGTATTTTACACATAAACCTCTGTGTGTTAAATCTTAGTTAGTTTGTTGCAGTCACTTTCCAATTTAATACCTCATTTATTTATTTTTTATTGAATTTAATACCTTTTACCTTGAATTAATTAAGTTTAATAGGGTTTGGTGCTCACTGCCAATGTTTTTGTTGCATATATTCTGTTTGCAAATTCTACATTGCGATAAATCTTCTGAAAATTGATTCCTCATATATTTATTAAGGACTCACAGGGAAATTATGTAGACCTGTTTTCTTTTTTTCCTCTACCTATATTTTGTTTACTTTGCCAAACAAAATTGTTAACTCATTGGTAATATTTTACTCCCCAGAAAAAATGGAATCTCTCAAAGGAAAAACCATGATCTTATTTCATTTGATTCTTACGTTGAGATCTGCACAGTGTGCCTGGCACACATTTGATATTCAGTGACTTTACATAGAATATTCAGATTCTAAACACTGTTAGAATACTTGTCACTTCCCTTCTTGAATGTTATCTCAGGCCTTTGCTTCAGTTCCAGCTGAACAATGGTGTGTGTGTGTGTGTGTGTGTGTGTGTATGTGTGTGAGAGAGAAAAGCAGAATATCAAATGAAAGATGGTAAACACAAGTATGTTTTGTTTCTTAGGAGAAAATGACATTCAAGGATGTGGCCATGGACTTCACTCCAGAGGAGTGGGGGAAGCTGGATCCTAAACAAAGGGATATGATGCTGGAGAACTATAGGAACCTGGTCTCACTTTGTAAGAATCTTCATGACGCTGAAATCTGCTTATGTGGATATATCATTATTTCATTGAAAATGAAATAGCTTCATTTTTGCCCTCATTTTTGAATTCAGAAGTCATAGAGTATCAGTTCTTTGGGGATTAGAGAAAAATCATGCAATATACAACTGAACTATAACTCCAACTGAGAAAAATCTATTTCTGCTCCAGGATTTTGGTGAAATGTCTATGCCTGTTGTGTATCAGGACTCAAGTGACAGACAGCCTAATTCAAACCAGCTTTATGTGGGAGAAATCTTGATTCAGAATCAAATATATCATCAGGAATTTTATTTATTTATTTATTTTTAATCTTTTGACTTGACTTTTCCCTATATTAGCTTTATTCTTAGGATCTTTCAATATAGCAGAGACAGTCACTGGCAGTTAAAGAACTGAGCCAAAAAGAGAAAATGTACATGTTTGTGTGAGAGGTAGAAAGGACTAGTAGCCCTTCCCAAACCTCATAGAACAAATTCTCAGTGAAAGTATCTTCTAATAACTGAAAAAGGAGGAAAAGAAAAACATTAGTAGACAAAAACTCCAGTGACCACAGTCACAATTTTGTGGTGCCACTGAGGTCCTACTTTTTCCCCATCTTCTTTTCTAAGATAAGAACTAATCTGCAAGATTGCTCTAAAATCTTTCTCTAAAATTTATTTTTTATTTGTTCTTTTTGGTTATACATGACAGTAAGTATTTTGGCAGATTATACATATACAGAGTAAAATTTCTTCATACAATAAGAAAATAAAGAGACAAACCCAGTTTCACTCTCTACCAGACCTAAACTCATACTGCATATATTTCTAACTCCATTTAGAGACCCATTCTCCCTTATTCTGGATCTTCTTATAACATTTTATCTTTGTAGATTATGGGGTTAGGATTATATTGCAGTATAAATTTTTATGCCTATCACAAATAGTTAAGTTCCATTTCTCCATTTATTTTTCCTTTTTTTTTTCTTTCCTTTCTTTTAATTAATAGGGCTTCCAGTTTCCAAACCTGAGAATTACAATTTGGACAGTGGAAAAGAACCATTAAAGCTTGAGAGAAAAACTCCCAAATGCAGCTATTCGGGTGAGTCACATAGATGGGAATCTTCAGAAATATACAGCAAAATAGTAAATAAGTGGCACTTTTTAATGCTTAAGGAAGAATATTAGAAGTCTCTATTTGCCTTTTTTAAAGTATTTTATTTTAAATTCTAAAGCATCTTAAGTACACACAGAAGTCCAGAAAATAAAATAACATGTATTCATCACCAATATTAAATGTACATGCTAATATTTTACTTCATTTACCTCTTTTTTTTCTTTTTGGTAATATAAAATACATAAAGTATCAATGCTATAAATGCTATGATTTTGACAAACCAAGATGCATTCATGTAACTACTGCCTATATCAAGAAAACAACATTACCAGTATCTCTAAAGCACCCCTGTGCCCTCTTTTAGTCACCTCCTTCCTCCCAGGGGTAACCTTATCCTAACTTAGAGTGTCATTGGTTAGTTTTGATGGTTCTTCTTATATCAGTGGACTCACATTGTACATATTCTTGTGTCTGACTTTCTTCACTGAACCGTTAACTTTGTGATAAATCCATGTTGTGGCCTATTGTAGTTCATTCATTCTCATTATCATTTAGTCTTTCATTATGAAGGTATCCAATTCATTTATTTGTTTATTATCTTAAAGATGGGCATTTTGATAGCTTCCATTTTGGGTTATGTGAATAGTGCTATAATGTTCATTCTTTCACATGTCTTTTTATAAACAGATACAAGCATTTCTGTTGGATATATACATATAAGTAAAATTATTGAGTAATAGATTAGGTTCATGTTCATTTTTATACATATTGCCAAAGTTTATAAAGTTAATATACCCATTATATTCCTAGCTGAAGATGTGAGTTCTAGTTGCTCCACTATTTGTCTTTATTTTAGCTAATTTTTTTTTTTTTTGATACCAAGGATTGGACCAAGGGATGCTTAACCACTGAGCCACATCCCCAATCCATATTTAGAGACAGGATCTCACTGAGTTGCTAAGTGCCTCATTAAGTTGCTGAGGCTGGCTTTGAACTCAAGATCCTCCTATCTCAGCCTCCCAAGCTGCTGGGATTACAGACATGTGCCACCACACTTGACTCATTTTAGCCATTCTTGAATGTGTGTAATATCTTTTATTTTTTAAGAAGTAAAACATATTAGAGATTCAGTTACAGTCCTTTCATTCTTTCTTTCTGTAGAATCAGTATATCTCAAAGTTGGTATGAATCATTCCAGAGTTTACATGTGTATATATATGTATACACTATATTTTAGTGTTTAACCTATGTTAATGAATCATGTTTGTTTATTTTAACTAATATGGAGTGTGTCCATAGTGTGAATAAAGTGAACAGTTCAATTTTACTTTTTTGCCATTAGTAACAGTTGCAGTCTTGTGTTTATTGATTCATGTTCATCTTAAGGGTTGGGGTTAATGTAAATAACTGGAAAAACATTACATGTTAGTTTTACTAGGAATTGTCTGGTTCCACACCCACCCTAGCCTTCGGTTGATGTTATCAGACTTCATTTTTGACAGTCTGGTGGGGTCCAAAATGCTATTTTGTGTTTTTAAATTTTCATTTCTCTGAGTTGGAGCACTTTTTGCTTATTGGGTATCCGGGTTTTTTCTTTTGTGAATTGCCTATTAATATCCTTTGTTTATTTTTTAAAAAATTGTACTGTTCAACATCTTTCTTTTTGAGTTATTTATTTTAGACTCTAATACATGGCAGCGGGGGGAAAAATGGTTCTTCCATTCCAGTCTTGGATGTTTTATTTTATTAAGCATATTGAATTTTTAAATTTTAAGGACAGATTTATTGATTTTTTTTAATAGTTAAGTTTTTGGAAATTTCCTTCCTTAATCCAATGTTAAAAAGATAATCTATTTGTTCTAAAAAGTTCAAATTTTGTTTACAGATTTTTATTTTAGTATATGGTGTGAAATGGGGAGCTAATTTTATCTTTTTCCAAGCTTATAGTTCATAATCTAAGATAATTTATTGAATTATCTTTTATCAGAGATTTGAAATGATGTTATTCCCCTGTATACTTGCATTTGTATCTGGATTTATTTCTCAGCTCTCTGGTTTACTCATCTATCTATGCTCCAACACTATACCATTAAAAAATAATATAAAAAATATTTTTAAAAAGATGATTTAGGAAGGATTTTTCCTAAAGAAAAAAAGTACATGTATACATATGTTATGCCTCATAAAGAAAATTCTCCAGAATACACATATAAACATGTTATATCTCATAAAATCCTTCCTGAATATTCTTTTTTAAAAACTGTGTTCTTTTGAATAGTGGAGTTTTAAAAATCTTTCTCTGTGATTATGGATACATGTCTGTTTATCCTTGTAAGCCTTTCTATCTTTGTGACTTGTCTACTTACCACTTCTTTTCTGGGGAGAAATATTGCTCTTAATGATCTTTGAGAATGCTTCATATATTCACCCTTTGATTAGTTGCACACATTTTTCCTTTCAGTTTTGCAATACTTTTTGATGAACAAATTTAATATTCTATATTTTTAATTTTCTGCCTTTTGAGTATTCCTTTAAAAGTCCTTTCTCATCCCACGACTACATAAATATTTGCCTGTGTTCTCTAGTATATTTGTTCTTTAAATCCTTAATTCACTTGGAATAATTTCTTGGCTTTTTTGGTGTGTCTTTGCCGTAGTCCGGCTGTAGCAAAATAACCAGGGGGTGACGAGGAACTTGTGTACATTGATACAGCAGGAGTGGGAGCCATTTATTGTAGCACAGGAGGGGTATATATACATTCCACACAGCTTATCTTAATTAACATAAACTAGATACAGCAGTCAACCAATGAGGAATCTCCACACTTAATGGCTCGCTGGCGTTACTTTACAAACCACTCCCTCTGCAAAATGCCAGGCACCTTCTTGACTTGTTTACAGACTCTAACATGTCTTCTTAGTTTTCTTTCTTTTTTTTTGTTTTTAACAATTTAATGTTTGGATTGCTCAAGATTTGACTTTAATCTCCCTTTCATTTTGTATTCCTGGAGTCATAAATTTGAGTGCTTAACATGGGCCAGGAGGTTATATAAGCAAAGGAAGCAAGGTCAGAATGGTAAATTAGAGGAACACGTGTCTCAACTGAAAGAAGTGGCCATTACTCCATTAGCTCTAATTCAAGGACTGGCAATCTTTTTATGTAAAAATTTAGGTCATAAATGTTTAGGCCTTATGTGACAGATGGTGTCTCTGTATCCACTCAGTTTGACATATGGTGCAAAAACAGCCTTATGTAAATGAATGGATATGACTATGTTTCAATGAAAATTTATTAAGAAAAATAAGCAGCAAACTATAGCTGTCAGCCCTTGTTTGAACTAGTTGTTGTCCTTTAGTATGCTTTCATTATTTTTTCCCCCAGAGAAACCTAAAATTTGGTTCTATGTGACATACCCTTATTTTTTAGATGTTAGAAAATGATTTTTAAAAATTGTATAAACGGTGAAGGCCAAACACAATATGCCTGAGGTCAGATTGGGCTGACGGGTTATCAGTTTGCAGCTTCTACTTTTGCTTAGGTTGTCTGATCACTCGTATCACTAATTGTCATCTATTCAGATAATTCCCACATTTGTATTTCTGTCCTCAATCTCTTTTCAGAACTTGTGTTCTGAACATCTGTGTGACTACTTCATGTCTCTGTTTACTTATGTCAAAGATTCCTCAATTCACAGTGTTCAAAACTGGATGTCTGAAATATGCCCAAATTCCTCTTTCCCAACAGGATCCTTTTCCAAGAACTGTCTTAATGATATTTACTGTCTACTAAATCATACATGCCAGAAATCTATGAAGTCTTTATATTTCCTTCTCCTTCCCTTATCCAGTTTACCATTATACTTACCTAATTATATTCTAAATATTTCTTCACTGTTACTATCCTTCCATTTTATTTTTGTGTGCCTAAATTACTATGACAATCTCCCTGATTCCACCTTTACCCCTTTGTACTTCATTCTATATATCACAGTGAGAAAGTTTTCAAAATCAAATTGGATCATGCCATCCATTTGCTTAGAACATTTCAATGGCTTCATGTTTGATATTTACTTGTAAAGATTACATTAAATTCTTTCTCCTTCTATCTGCATAAGGGCTAAGTGTATTTTTCCCCAGTGACTAGCACAGAGTCTAGCATGTAGTAGATACTCAGTAGTTATTTGTTGGATAAAATGGATAGACAGATGAGTAAATAAATAAGTAGAATGTATTTGGGTATATGGAATAAGAAATCTAACTTAATTTTCTTCTAAGTTGTCATGGTACCTTTTGTTGAAAAAGAAATATTGTTTACTGACTGAAATATTACCTTTCTATTATCCTTAATTGTTCCATATACTGTAGGAATACAGTTTATTTCTGATCTTGCTCTTCTATTTCACTGATCTGTTTATTCTTTTGAATCACTGTTTAAATTATTCCATCATTTTAAAATGATTTACATTGGGTATAACAATTCCAATATATTTATTTTAGGTAAATATTTAGAAAGGTTCAGTACCTATATCTACCCACTCTCCTCTGTTCTGATATTTCCCCTATAGATAACATTTTTATTTGTTTTTTTATTTATCTTTCCTTGGTTTGGTTTTGTTTCTTCTTTCCACATTTTTTATTGGTGCATTATAGTTTACATAATGATGAGATTCGCTGTTACATATTCATATATGCACACAATGTAACATTATAATTTGGCCAGTGTTTCTCCCCAGCTTTGTAATTTTTATAAGCTGGTTAATACTAAATTTTCCTTACTATAAGTTATGGTAATATCTATTATCAGCCATTTCTTTTTCTTCTTTGTCTTCTTTTTTTCCCTCTGTTTTGAACATACATTTTATTTGTTTATTTTTAATATATGTATTTTTTAAAAAAATTTAGGTGGACACAGTATCTTTATTTTACATTTATGTAGTACTGAGGATTGAACCTTGTGCCTATGCATGCTAGGCGAGCACTCTACTACTGAGCTACAATGCCGGCTGCTTGAACATACAGTTTAATATTCTTAAATACTTCTGATGAGTGAATATCCTCAACTCACTTCTTACAGAAATTCTGACTTGGTTAAACAATATATACCTAAATTGTGAGAAAAGTTTCTCCAGAATCAGATAATCCTTGAAATTCTGGGTCTGTCACTCATTAGATTTGTATTCCATCCAATCTTTCCTTGGTTTTTGAAAATACAACCAAATAATATACTTATATCTCATTCTCCTTTTCCTGACACAAAAAGTAACAGCAAACTATACAACATTCTTTTACAACTTGCTTTTTTTTAAAAAAAAAATACTTAATATATGCTGGAGATCACATAGCAATACGATAAAAATCTTTCTCATTTTTTAAAAGTTGCATAGTACTCATTGTATAAGCTATAGTTTATTCAGTCATTTCTCTGTATTAGGTATTGGAACTGTTAACAGTCTTTTACAGCCTTAATAAGTGTTGTAGTGAATAGCCTTGTTCATCTGTCACCTCATATCATATATTTGGATTTTTTGATGAGAAATTTTATAAAAGCATTGTTGGGAATATTAAAATGGTAATAGTACTGAACATAAGTAGGATTAAAAGACCAGAAACCTAAAAATTCTGTTTACTAAGATGATAACTACCAATATTTATTACAGCAATAGGAATTCTATATATAAAAAAAAACTGGAAAGCACTTTTTACTGATCCTGTTCTGATCCAAGTGTAATCATTTCCTGCTCATCCACTGATGTATTGCTTCATCTGCATCTCTCCTCCTACCTTTCTTGTCATCTTTCCTACCTTCCAATTCTCCTGGATAGGGTATACTTGTTTTCTCTGCATACACTGAGCATTTGTTTCCCTCTATTTGCTTCTCTTTTGTAAATCACCCCCCAAAATTCAAATCTATTCACTCCTTAAATGTGTGCTTTTCACCTTCATTAACTCTTAACCTATTACAGAATGGCTATTTTTTTGAGCACAGAAAATGAAGGAAATTTGCATTTCCAATGTCTTTCAGACGTGGAGACTTTACCTGAGAGCAAAGATTCATCTTCAGTTCAAGATTTTTCCAAAGATGAATCACACCCAATTGCAATAATAGATAGACTGGCAAGAAATAGTGTCTATGACTCCAAATTGGAAACAGCTCTTGAATGTGAAAACTGGTTAGAAAATCAGCAAGAAAACCAGGAGAAACACTTGAGAGAAATGTTTACCCACATGAATTCACTTCCTGAAGACGAAGATCGTGAGCGTGATATATATTGGAAAACCTTTGGTCAGAAGTCTGTTCTTATCACTCAAGACAGAGTTCCCAAAGGATCTTATGCCTTTCACTCACTTGGGAAAAGATTGAAACAGAAATCAAATTTAATGAAAAAACAGAGAACCTATAAAGAGAAAAAACCTCATAAATGTAATGACTGTGGTGAACTTTTCACTTACCATTCAGTGCTTATTCGACACCAGAGAGTCCATACTGGAGAGAAACCCTATACTTGTAATGACTGTGGGAAATCTTTTAGCCACAGAGCTAATTTAACTAAACACCAGAGAACTCATACTAGAATTCTCTTTGCGTGTAGTGAATGCAAGAAAACCTTCACGGAAAGCTCATCCCTTGCAATACACCAGAGAATTCACATCGGAGAGAGACCTTATGAATGCAGTGAATGTGGGAAAGGTTTTAACCGAAGTACACATCTTGTGCAGCATCAATTGATTCATACTGGAGTGAAACCTTATGAATGTAATGAATGTGATAAAGCTTTTATTCATTCATCAGCACTCATTAAACATCAAAGAACTCACACTGGAGAGAAGCCCTATAGATGCCTAGAATGTGGCAAAGCCTTTAGCCATTGTTCATCCCTTACTAAGCATCAGAGAGTTCATACAGGAGAGAAGCCATATGAGTGTAGTGAATGTGGGAAAACTTTTAGTCAGAGCACGCACCTTGTTCAGCATCAGAGAATTCATACTGGAGAAAAACCCTATGAGTGTCAAGAATGTGGGAAGACCTTTAGCCGGAGCTCAAATTTTGCTAAACATCAAAGAATTCATATTGGAAAGAAACCCTACAAATGTAGTGAATGTGGAAAAGCCTTCATTCACTCATCAGCTCTTATTCAACACCAAAGAACTCACACAGGAGAGAAACCCTTTAGATGTAATGAATGTGGGAAAAGCTTTAAGTGTAGTTCATCCCGCTTCAGACATCAAAGAACTCACATAGAAGAGAAACCCTGAGAAATTACTGAATGGGAAGAAATGTAAGTACATTTTATTGCTGCATTAATATCTGAGTGTTTAGGTGGACCCATAATGTGCAAAGGCCAATGCTATGTGCATCTAGTTTCACTTGCCTAATATATAATTTCACCCATAGATTCATTTTCTCCTTTTCATGGTCATATACCAGAGGCTTGTTGTACCCTCTCACTTTGAAAGAAAATTTTTATTTTGTAACTTAGGCTGAAATTTCATATCCTCGTCAGAAAGATGAGATATTTTGTAACTTAGGCTGAAATTTCATATCCTTGTCAGAAAGATGAGATTACTCTGAATTCAAAGTAGACTCCTACATATACATATATATTCTTTCTCCAGGGTACCATTTCTTTTATTTTAGCCATAGAAATTATGAAGGCCAAGAGTAGGAAGTTACTTAGGATTTACTTCCTCCCCTTGAAGGCTGCTGTCTAATTTGCTGAACATAACTAAAATGTATTTACAGCAAGTTCTAAGTTATGTTTACGTGGATTATGTTGTTCATAGATTTAAATACTTGTTTTCCTTCATTTGAGAGATTTTCCTGCATTTTCCAATTCCTTGAGAGTTACCCTGAAGTAGAGAGTGGGTCAGAATCTTAACTGTCATTGTTAATCAAGTCTATCTTTTTCTTAACCTTGTCATTGATTGAATCCTTGGTTTTCGGTAGTCAAAGTAGGGGAGGCTTCATTTCTGTATATTTTTTAGCTTTCTGAAAATTGGGTTTTGTCACCTTTAGAAAAAGCCGTAGGATGTTGAGAATCTGAAAAGTTGATAAATTCAATGTGCTGTTTTTATTTAGGATTCCAGTCAAGAAGAGAACTGAAGCAACTGTGAGGCACCAGGGCATACTTTCCTGTTCGGTATGGAAAAAGCTTATGAAACGGCCCTCAAGTGAGTCATTTGAGGATTAACAGCTGCTCTTCATGAAGAAGTTACTACTTTTTTTTTTTTTCTGACCTGTACATTTACCCATATTCTTGGTATTGTTCTTATTCTCTGTATGTCAGTTGATCTTTGTCCCAGAGCTCTTACTTAAGAAAGTGGGCAAGGCACAAAATCAGAGAGGCATATTAGCACAAGTTACATGGGTGACCAAAGACCAGTGGCAAGATTGGAAACAAAAGCAGCAGTACAAATTAATATCTAGTAAAACACTATACATGTGTCAATTTTTGTTGTTACCCTATTTATGTTATATGAAAACTATAGGGGGGAAAAACATAATCACAGATTTCTTTCTTCTCTTCCAAATCTTTACCTTCCAATTCCATACGTTTGCCCCCTCCACATTATTCCTCTCAGTAGGAATCATAAATTTTATGATTGAAGAAAATTAGGGGGTAGGGTGTAAAGAATTGATGATAATGGGGATCACTCTCATGAAGGCTGAATGGAGTATAAATCCAGCAGTGAGGGTGAAAGACCTCTTTCAGGAAGAGATAATAGAAACATGGAAGGGAGCCAAAGTGGAAAGGCTTAAGAGTTCAGAGGTCAGGGTGGGAAAATAGCTTACTTAACAAAATATAGGAAAAGTATCTCAAGTCTTTCATCACCTTAATCAGTATGGTTTAGAGCAGGAAGTGGCAAGCTATGGTGTGGACTTTTGGACCATGTCTGACCCATTGCTTTTTTCTGTGAATTTTGTTGGGACTCAGCCATACTCGTCAGTTATATGCTATCTTTGGCTGCTTTTCTATGCAACAGAGTTTGTGTCTTGGGGGCTGCTACAATCCAGTTCCACATACTGGATAGCTTATAAACAGAAATTTCTCAATAATTTTGGAGACTGAGAATTCCAAGGCACCAGAGGATGCGGGTTTGGTGATGTGGTACTTCCTGGTTCACAGAGGGCTCCTTCTCTGTGTCCTTAGCCCCTTAAAAGTGTACTGATTCCCTTCAAGAAGACTCCACTGTGATGACCTACTCACCTTCCAAAAGCCCTACTTTGTAATACCATGACATGGGTGATTAGATTTCAGTGTAAAAATTTTGGAGGGGCACATTCAGTCCTTAGCAGATTATATGTTTCCCCAAGCCCTCCAAATTTACTATTAGGCTCATTATAGAAAATGTTAACTGGCCCCTGCACTAGAGAATTCATGTCAAGAGGTGGGATAGAAGGATTAAACCCAGAGAAATTAGGTAGAATGGAAAGTTATAATGATGGTGAACATATCCTTCCTTAGGGACTAGCCATTGTGGTTACCCTCCTAAGCTAGACTAGAAAGCAGAACAAGACAGATAAATACCCCCAGAGGGATGGCTCAGGAACTCCATAGTCTTATCACTATTTTTAATGTTACAGAATATTAGGAGAGAGAAAAAAAATGAGGTGGGGGAAATATGAGAGATTGGAAATGATGCATGAAGACACTCCTAACCATTAGGTTGCAACTATACATTCTAGAGAGAGTTGCAGTTATTTAAGCTTTTTTAGTATGCCAAAAGCTTGAGTGAAAATAAATTCATTTTGGAGACCAAAATTTGACTAATGAAAGAAGACCAACATGGGCTTTTCAAAGTTGAGTATGATTTTTGCCACTCCCAGGTAGTAATTATGTGACCTTGAAAAAAACTACTAAATCTGGGTTTCGGTTTCCTTATCTGTAAAGTGGGAATAAGTCATCCCTTCCTCACAAAATTGTCATGAAGTTTAAATGAAAATGCATATGGAGGATTTAGCACATCATCACTGTAGACAGTCCCCCATTCCTGCCCCCTCCCACCTGCCTGCTCATGAATACTCTGAGGTCGCATGCTGTCTTTCTCTCTATGATGTTTATATTTTTAAATTGTATTTTCATCAAGTGACTAAGCATCAATCAGTAGAAGTTACTTTAGTATCTACCCACTTTTTGTTTACCAATAAAGAACTGTGACTCTCCTGCTCTCTGACTTATCTTAAAGAGGGAGCTTTCAATTTTTGCTTTTGCTTCCATTGGTGCTGTTCCTTGCAATTTCTTTGAGACCTTGTGGAACCTGCCGCTTTTCCTTCTGAATATCACTTAAGCAGGAGCTATCTGATAGTTCCAGAGACTCAAGTTTACAACCTAATTGCACTTTAACTAGTGTTAAGGGATTTGCTCTTTTACTGGGAACTCTGGCCCTTTGCATTTTGTATTTGTCCTTTCTATACCTAATGTTCAACCTAATTACGTGTTTATATTCCACATAAATCTTGGAAGTTTTAATGATCTGCATTTTAAATGTTTTGGTTACCTATAAATGATATTATCTGTTCTTATATTATCTGTTCTATTGTCAATAAAGATGTTGTTTGTACATATATTGTCAGAGACTTTGTAAATTGCTTTTAAACTGTCCTAATTTAAGCACATTTTAAGATGAAAAGAAAAACTAACTGTAAAATATCTCCGTATCACTCAGGAAAACAATCACAATTCTGTTTATCTGGGCTTTATAACTTTTGGAAACATGTGATTGGGAATGAATGCCCTTGACAGCCCAAATGTCTCCAAGAAGATTACAGAGTAGAGGAAGATAGTTTCTACCAAATAGTGCTGATTCCTTAGGCCAGGTATAGCACCATTCACATAGCAGAGGTAAAGGGGGTAAAGGACAAGAAAGAGGTTTCATATCAAACACACAGTTGGGCTAGGGGTTTGGCTCAGTGGTAGAGCACTTGTTAAGGCCTCTGTTTTAATCTCAGCACTTCTAAAAATAAAATAAAATAAAAAAGAACAGTTTAAACTAGGTAAAATATGATTAGAAATGTTTGGATACAAATATCAAACATCATTCCATCCATAGGTAATTAGTTATTTTAAGTCATAGTTTTCATTTTCTTGAGTGTAGTCTTACTTAAAAACAAAAAAATCCTGGAACAGAACTGTTTTTACTTTACCCTTATTTTCTTTATCCTTTCTTTACCCTAGTTCTTCTTTTAAGGCCACAACTAGGCTATCTTAGAGCCAAGAACCACATGAGCTGTCCCTCACCATAAGTTATTGATGAGGAAGAATGATATCCCCCTCTGGTAATACATGTATGACATTTATGGGTTTCTCTGAAGTTCAATTAATGCTTTGCAAAACTTAGATATTTTCACAGAAGTGTTCTTTATATTTTTAACCTCTGTTCATTAATAATCTTTCCTTAGGTTATGTTGACTATATATAAAATGTACATACCTTACTTCCCTCCCACCTTCACCAATTTGCCCATAAACACATTATCATGTCAGAAAAGTTCACAGGGCTGGGGAATCTAAAGGGTGAAACTAGAGATTCAGGCATTGCTAAGTCAAGAATTGTTGACCGCCATCTTTCCTAGGTTTCCTCTGCATTGGCTTTATTTTCAAATATGTCTACTGGCAATTCCAAGTTATTGTGCTTAATATTCACAATCCCAAAGAGAGTACCTTCTTTTCGTATAACTCCAGCAAAATTCCCAAGGGTACTTACCTCTGCTTGAACCACACTAATTTCTGAAACATCTGTGAAATGGGGTCTGAGTCCATGTAAAAAACTTGGAGCTAGGAAATGTATATTTATACTCTCACATACACAAAAATATGCTTACTTTTGCCATGTTAAGAAGGTATAAAAGGCATGTGTGGGGCTGTAAGTCATGAGTTTTTGTTACTTCTGTTTATCTGCTAAATTGCTTATGTATACTAGAGAGATCTTTATTGTGTACATTCCAGTTAGTTACTTTGGTTAGCAAATTTGTGATGAATATGAGTGGTCAAAAGACCATGGGAAAAACAGTGGCAACCTACCTGTAGAAAAGATGTAACCTAGCAAGCCTGAGACAGCTGTTTAGAAAGGCCTGCTCATCAGGTTGACCATTGGCTGGCATCTGGGAACTTTGACTTTGGGATAGTTCCCATTATTCCCAGCACTGATAAGAATAACTGACGGTTCCAAAATTCTGTATTTAAACAATGTGACTTATGCCACATTTAAAAAAAGGTAAGGATGATATGTAGAGAGTAAGCCTCCTGTCTTACAGAGAGCTGTAATGGCGATGGTGTTTCCTGGCCCTCACTAGGGGAACATGAACCGTTTTAGAGAATTAAATTGAGTGGAAGTAGAACCCTCTGGCTTCCTCCTTTCTTCCTTCCAGCATGACAAAAGCAATATCTGAGATGGTGGCTGTTTCATCAGCTTGGGTTCTTGAGTGATTATGATGAGGAGAAGATTCCTGCCATCACAATAAGCAGGTCACACAGGTAAGCATCAAGAATGGGCGTCCTAGTAAGAAGGCCAAAATGACTGGCAGTGGTTTCTAACTTCAGAGCTGGTTAAGTGATAGGGTAAGTCTAGGAGATACTTCTCTGATCACACACTGGCTTTTGGGGGTGGGGGTATTATATCCTACTTCCCCTCTCTCTTGTATATTTCTTCTTAGTATTCCCACATCAGGATATCAGGAAGTAGATATGGTCAAATAAACTTTTCCTCTTCCAATAGTGTTCTTGTCAGAATTTTTGGTCTCAGCGGCAAAAAAGCTGACTATAACAGATACTCAACTTGTATTAAAAACAAAAGGACTGCATTCTTCAAAAATGTTTATGTCAAAGCTAGGCACCGCATGGTGGAAGGGTGCAGCAGAGCAAAGCTGCTCACCTCTTGACAGCTGGGCAAAAGAGAAAGAACTGGGAGTAAGACACACCCTTCCAGGACATACCCAAGGGGACTTACTTCCTCCAACTATGCCCTACCTCCTGTAGTTTCCACCACCTCCCAGTAGTCTCCAGCTGTCAGCAGATTAATCCACTGATGAGGTCAAAATCTTTATGATCCAATCACTTTCCCAAAGGCCTCACTTCTGCATTAGGGTCCAAACCTTTGAAACATGAGCCTTTGGAAGGCCTTCCAGATTCAAGTTCTAACAATAATTGATTCATGTCATTTGAGTATAAAAAAGTAGTTATGTTTACAATTTTCTAACTCTAATCTTTTAGTCGAAAGTTGAGATAGTTATACACACCCATCAATGAAATTGCTTTCACAGAAGAGTCCAATCAATGACATAACTGAGAGGGACATCAGAGAGGTCATTTCTCCTTAATTGTATGTAGAACATTAAATTTCTTAGAAATAAAACTGGAGTTTTTTTTTCATTGTTTTCTGTGATCTTGTTATCAGAGAAGAATTGTTTTCTGTTTCGGTATTTAATAGAGGACTATCATGGTATCAAGATAAGAAACACAGTTCTTAGGATCATAGCAATGTCCCTCCGAGGTGATGGGAAAACTAATAGATCTTCTGTGGAACTTGCAAGGGTTAAGAAAGCTGTCTCTGTAAGTTCTCTATGTCTGATGCTTAAAGTTCATAGGCAGTCAACAAAGGAAGCCCATAGAACAGGCTAGAATTCCAAAAACATAAGCTGAAACTACATAAGAATGTACCAAAACCTGTGTTCATGGAGCCAAACATATTCTAGTAACCCAGGAATCAGAGAAGCAGAAGGAAAAATCTAGAGTAAGGCAGGGCAACTGCAGATCCAGCTGCTGCTTAGTGCTAATGAGCTGACTTAGAACATCAGCAACAATGTTTATGTGTGTGTGTGTGTGTGTGTGTGTGTGTGTGTATAGTTAGACTTGCTACAAAGTCCAATTTGTTCATTTTATTTTTAGTTTGAGATCTTTAATCTTCAGAAATCACCTAAACTAACTATAGAGCAATATAATCACTGTTGATGTAAAAATTTATCAAAAGTATAGTTCAAAACTTGGGGTGGGGTTCTATATATCTTAAGGTGATTGATTTCTGATGTAATAAATCATGCAGGAAACACAGTGTGCATAATTTCAAATTTAAAAAGTAATGGGAATGCTTTATATATTGATTGTATTGGTTACATATATGTTAAAACTGATCAAATTGCATAACTTCAAATATGTGCATTTTATTGTACTTCAATTTTACCTCAGTAAAGCTATGGAAAAAAAGCATAACTCAAAACTTGTTTAATGCATATAATGAGACTTTATATCCTATTTATTAATCTCCTCTATCTGTAGGAAAATATTGGAAACACACACATTGAGATACAGGCTTTTCTCCCAGACACAGATACACAGATAGCTTGCAGTTTCATATTATCAACCATAACAACAGGTGAATAAAAAGTAAACACACAAAAATTCACCTTTTTTTTTTTTTGGTGGAGGTGAAGCATGTTCTAGACTCATTCGAAATTCTATTTAAACACACCCACATTTTTCCCCCATCCATCAGAGAATAAAATATATTCACCATCACCTACCCAACAGAGATTTGATATGAGAAACTGTCTAGAGCAGGAAAAAACCTTAGGAAACAAGAATAGGAAGATGTAAAAATAATGTTATTGGAAGTCCATTATGGAAAAGTCTTAGAAATGTGAAGTCTTGTTAAAAAGGTAACAAGACAACAAGGGATATCATCTGATGAAGAGTTGAATTTCCTTCAAGAAACTTCAACTAAAAAGAGGCTTCAGATTGAAGTTTATCTTTCTTGTACTACAGGCCCTGCAGGAAAGAATCTGCATGTGAAACACACATGAAATCACATACCTGAAAAGTTACTTAAGATAGATTTAATTTAATGTTAAAGAAACTTAAACCAGCACAAACATGCCATAAAGAACATTTATACTAGAGAAAACTATGATGGCTAATTTTATGTGTCGAGTTGGCTGGGCCAAGAAGTGCCCAGATGTTTAATCAAACATCATCCTGGATATGTCTTCATATCTTATTTCTGGATAATATTAATATTTAAATTGGTAGACCGAGTAAGGCAAATTGCCATCCCTAAAGTGGATGGGTCCCATCCAATCAATTGAAGTCCTGAACTGAACAAGGCTAAATAAGAGAGAACTCTTTCCTCATGATAGCTTGAGTAAGCACACCAGCCTTTTTCAGCCTCTGGACTCACTAAAACATAGCCCTTCTTGGGTCTACTCTGCCAGCTTTCAGACTATAACTCATACCATCATCTTTCCTGGTTCTTGGGCCTTCAGATTCAGATTGGAACTATATGATGACTCCCCTGGGTTACTGCCTACTGACTCAAGGTCTTAGGACTTGCCAGGCTCCACAATTGCATGCGCCAATTAAACACACACACACACACACACACACACACCACACTATTAATTCTGGTTCTCTAGAGAGCCCTAATAATACAGAAACCCTATAGTTGACATATAAGTCTTACTATTTGTATAATAAGAAAATATTTATAAAGGAAGAAAAAAGTCTTTGCAAATGTATAAATGTGAAAATTGTTCTGCTACTCTAGAACCCTACCCTGCAAGCATAAATGTTT